CATTTTTGTTATCTATTTTATCTATTTTCTATCATAATTGCACAAACACACCACAGCAAATTCCTTGTATGTGTAAAGCTGATTCTGAGTGGTAAAATATGACATAAAGCTTGGCATTGTTAGTAATGTCGGTCGATTCTTCAACTGCTAAATCTCTGCGAGGTGCTTTTATTTTAACCACTTTGATAACCGCAGTGAGCTGTGACAAAAATCTCCCTCTCCCCCTTGAATTTGTGTTCAGATTGTGTATTGTGTACTTTTCATCAAGACCCCGCAAAGGTTAATTCCCCTTGCTTTCTTTATGAATCACACCTGTAAGACAGAGAAACTCCCTTCCCACGTCCTCCAGCAATGTTGAGGAGTTATAGTGAAACTGCTGCCAACAGATCTGCTGTGCATAAGACTGATGGCAATTGCTTCTATGAGGTCAGGGCACAAGTGTACGGACAAGGGTTATCTGTCTGCTTAATTTATGCAACTGTAAAGGATTTGTCCTCAAAATGTAAAGCATCCAACTGTTTATCATGTATTGTTGATTTTGATTGGTTCTGTTCAATGCAGTGACTGAATTAATTTGCATTTCAGGTTCTGTTTAACCTATGAGCAGAGCCTTTTTTGAACCACTCATTGAGCATTCAGAATACTTGATGAGCCAGACCTGTGGATTGTTGAGGCTTTTAAAATAATGCGTTGACTTTATCTCCAACAGGAAGTATACAGTAAGCATATGTCACAGTGAGCAGCAGGACTGGGTTTTGTGATTCTGAAAGACTTCACTACACTGACCTCCAACATGAACAGTAGGTTTCTGACAACACATTAAACTGGGTTTGAAGACCACAACCAGAGAGCCTTCAACTAGGTTTGCACTTTTGTGTTGACAGATCCAGCCTTCATCGTTCAGACCCTCATCTGTCTGCTGTTTCACTTTGCTCCTGGACTTGTGCAGTGCTTCTCAGTTGCAGCAGGTCAGGGTACATCTTCTCATGTTTGCATCACTTTTGTGATTTAAGAACAAACAAACAAAAACATAAAATGTCACACGTGTTGCAGGTGGAAAGAGATCTGAACAGCTGTTTTACTGCGACGCTCCAGGCTGTGCTGCTCAGGTGACTGTGGTGTTTTGCCAAGACAAGAAGCTCTTCAGTATTGATCATAGTGGTCATCACCTCCCACAGTGTGCAGGCCCCCCACCACCCAATTTTGTCTGCCAGCACCATGGCCAGGCATTCGTCTCCACCACTTCAGGAGCTTTATGTGAATTTGAAGGCAATGAAGGTTATATTGAGACGAAAAAATGCAAAGGTATTTACCTTTAGTCTCTGGAGTCCTTTGTATTTACAGACTGTAATACTATTGATAGTGATTCACACCCACACACAAAATATTTCACAGATGACGTGTTGTCATGAGTATCCCTGCTCTGAAGGTTTTTTTAATGCATGAACCTCCCACATGGTTTTAGTGACCTGCTAGTTTCACTGTACTCTAAAATCTCTCTCCAAAATGTGCATGTGCATGTCTTTGAGCCCTCTGTGTGTGTGGGGTTGTGGGTTTGAACTGCATGTGTAACAAAAGTGTAAAATGAGTGTAAAAAGAATTTCCCCGTGTAGGATAAATAAAGGAAGTTTAAGTTTTAAGTTAAGTTTTAGTTTAAAATAACTAGAATAATCTACCTGGGTGCCCTCATGGAGACATCCACTTTTTTTTTTGGTGACAAATTGAAAATGTAATTTACAATTATTCGTATTTAAATGTGGGTTTAAATGCTTTAACACTTGTGAGTACTTGTACATGTCAGGAATCTGACTGAGTCTGCTTGAAAATTAACTTCCTCTTGGGAAATTCCATCATTGCAGGTGTGAAGATTGAACACACTAATTTTCGCTGATGCCCTCTCTGGTATCTGATTTTAAATCGCTGTAAAGCAATGAAAAACATCCTTGATACCTAATTAGACCCTTGATTTATATTATTTCTATACATTTTTGGATTAAAGACTAAATAGATAGTCATTTTCATTAATGATAAATCTTTGCTGGTGTCCATTAGTAACACTACACCGTCTGATAACACTGTAAAACCTCTCGTTTTCTCAACTAGACCTCAACAGCTCATGTGTTTTTCCCACTGGTAAGTTTTGCCTTCAGATACACACATTACATCAAGCTGCTCACTGTTTTGTTGAATATTGAATTTTACCTCTGTCCTGCAGATCCCACACCTCCTACACCCGCAGGCAGAGCCAGCATAGTTAGTGGAGTTATTGGTAAGTTCTGAACATCAGTAAACCACACACAATGTTCATTTATCTTCTGAACAAGCAACTGTCAACAGCAGTCATTGGAAGATCTTTCCCTCTGCCACCAACAGTGTCTGCATTAAGTTAAGATTTAAGATTTATTTTCCCACTCTCTGGGCTCAAATGTTTCTCTTTTAAATGCTGCCAATCAGGTGACATCAACATTTGTTCTAGTGTGCTTCATACACCCATGTTAAATATGCACCTCTTCATTTCACAGGGTTGTTGATATTAACCCACGGCTGCATCTACTATCTATTTCTATAAAAAGAAATTCTCCGTTTTCGCCAATATGTGGAGTTTCAAGTCAGCAGCTTGACTTCACCTTTTTCCTGGCTCCCAACCTGGCCATGCCTACTATGCTGTAACCATTCCGATCTGTGTTGTCCTGTGATCGCTGTATTGTCAGATTATCCTTTGTTGTAAAGCCTGTAAAGCTGTATGGGTGAGAAGCCCTTTTGTTTTTTGCAATCTGTTCTACTGTTTATGTTTGGGAGGTAGGTATATATATCCCTGTATTTTCTTTTCTTTACTTTTGGTTGAAATTGGTTGGTTACTTGATATTATAGATTGTTTTGTTTGTTGATTTGGCTGTGCTCTCCCTGATGCTTATTCTACCTGTTTTATAAAACCTGTTGAAGTGACTCTGGTGGGAATAAAGAGTCTTGTCTTGTCTTGTCTTGTTCTGACTCATGTTTTACTTAATTACTTCTTTGTATGGAACACATTTTCAGTTTTAATAACTGTCACAGTCAGTCACCCATCCTCCCACTTCTCAGTCAGTCTCCCATCCTTCCACCTCTCAGTACTTTTCCATGGACTCCGCTTCTGCTTCATCTGCCAGCCAAGCCACACCCTCTCACAATCCAACACAGCTGCTCCTCAWCACCTGCAATCAAGCCCAGTATATATTCACCAGCTCCACTCTCAGTCAGTTGCCAGATTGTTCTACACCTTCATGCAAGACTTTCCAGCAGTTGTCTCCGGACTGATTCTTCGTTGCCGACCCTGCCTGTTCCTGACTAACCTGCCTCGTCCGAAACCTGGTAATCACCTCTGCCTTCCGTCCCTGACCAAGTCTTCTGCCTGTTGCTATCTGACCGAGTCTTCTGCCTGTTGCTGTCTGACCAAGTCTTCTGCCTGTTGCTGTCTGACCAAGTCGTCGGCCTGTTGCTGTCTGTATTGCCTGCCACCTGATCTGCTAAGAGCTGACAATAAAGACTGTTACCAACTGTCCATGCTTGTTGTGCTGCATTTGGGTTCAAAACCATACCCGTTACAATATCCGTTGTTATATCGATGGTTGTAATCTTGTAGGAATTCCTAGTCTCAGTCCATCTTTTACTTTCATATGTGTCATTATAAATGATTTGTTAGCCTTTATTTGGTTGCAGTTGGTACTAAAGGGTCAGTACACTGGATTAATACCTTTTTATACCTTTTCTCCTTATAATATTTTTCTCATATTTTCTCATATTGAAAGTTGTCTTTTTATTCAGTGTTGACTGTTTTTTACTTAAATCTGTGTTGATGAGGAGACCAAAAGTCTGAGAAATTTCACTTCCTCAATATGTCTGTGTATGTATTGCAGAAATTGACAAAAAAGATGACTTTGACTTTGAAAAGCACAATAGGAATCAAGTTATTGTTTACCAGGATTACCAAATAAACCAGGTTTATTTCGTTAGTCTGGTTTATTTTCCAGCGGATGCGGTTCCATAAAATAAGATCAGCATAATTCAAACTCAGTTACAACGGTGACTTATGCTGGCAAACTAACCTGGTCCGGACCAGGCTAATCGTCAGACTTAGCCTGAATTGCCTCTTAACCATGACACTTGAAAGAAAATATATGATTAACTATATTATATGACTTCATTAATCACCATCAATAAAATAATAAATGAAATACATCACGAAACGCTGTTTTAAAGGTTATGTAGTGGTTACATTTAAAATATTAAATATTACGATTAAAAAATGCCTAAAAAAGTAAACGAAGACGTGTTTAGGGGTGTTTCCCTTTTTGTTGTAACTAATTAAGGTCCAGCCAATATAAACAACCCCTATCCATGCCATTTGTCTGGTAGTCATGGCATGTCCCCTCATTGAGGAGGTTGTGGATGAGGGAGCTGCTCTACGCAGGGCACTGCAACGGGAGCTCTTAAGAGACAGGGCTGATCCGTTGGCTTTTCCAGAGAATCATTTATATGAGAGATACAGATTATTTTTTGCCAGTGGCAAATTTTTGTACACGGTTGAGGATGCTGAAAATTATTAGCAAAGCAACAGTGCTGCGTAGTCTACTTGGCTTTAAAAAGTCTTCGCAATGTATTTATAACTTTCCCCGGCCACAGGGGAATTCGTGCCACCAAAGAGGCCTTTTATGGAGTCGTAGGTAAGGTCAAGCATTCATTATAAAATGAAACATTTTTACTTTTCATGTTAGGAAAGGAACCGGGGACAAACGTGTCTCATTTGACCTTTATCGCGCATAATGTGCGCATACAGTGTGGCCTGCAGGAGACCGATGTGTTACCTCTTTTCGTTATTATATGTTTAAATTCCTCATAAGTGCCTGCTATGAGGAAGTGAACATTGCCGCTCGCTCTTTCGTATTACATTTTGCCATTGTGTATCCGGTTGATCTTTGTTCGACCTCATGAGCTGAATGGCGTGCACACGGAATTACTCTGACTATCTGAACCTGTCTTGAATTAGTTCGATTGCGTGGACGTGGCTCAGCCTTTGTGAAACCGCTTTAACCTCATCTCATTTGTTTGGCTTATTCAAGTCAGGTGTTTCACATTGAGCGCCGCTTTTCTGAGCTTGCTTTATGGAACGGACCCCTGGGGCCCGTTGCACAAAACTAGGATAATGGATTAAGCCGGGATATCTTGGTTATCCTGGCTCAACTTATCCTGATCCGGCTGCACAAAAGCGGGATAGTGGAAAGTGGGATATGTTATTACATAAGTTACCATGGAGATTTATTCTGTGGAGCCAGCCTGCTCCAGACCAGGCTAAATTCCAGGATCTATTTGATCTCATCCCTTATCCCAGTCAGCAGTCACCACACATAAAAACCAATAGTTATTCCACTGCCCACTACACATTGTTATCACATTCAACTAGACCCACTGTCATTATTTAAACTTTTGTTTAATTAATTTCAATCATTTTAGATAAATGACTGTTGAACTCAGTCATTTATCCTGGATGTCTTAATCCTAGTTTTGTGCAACAGGCCCCTGATGAGATGAAAAATGCAGAGGGAGCATGAATAGCACACCATGCTTTTAACAGCAGAAAACAGAGGGACATAGTTTTTCAGTGTGACACCTGAGGATGTGATGTAAAGTCTTCTTAGTTGCACATTAACTTAGTAACTGTATATTACTTTGTGTTACTAATCCAGGTCAGTAATCGTAAACCGAGGAATTGTTGATACCTTGTGTGCACACGATTAAAAAATAAAATAAATGTATATACTTGCTTTGGTTGTGTTCATTGCACTATAGGTTAACATCATGCGCCTACATTCAGACGATCAGGAAGTGCTGCTTTACCTTGACAGTGTTAAAATGTCGCCTCCTGCTGTGGAAAAGGCCTAACACTACATCAACCATGATAAAAACTCTAGCCTTAATATATATAAACACAGTAATGTAATTGTATAAGGCGTTGGTTGTACACACTGATCGTACAACCTCTGGGACATCTCGCCTTCAAGACTCAGCGCAGGGAACATGTGTGTAGCGCCAAATATCGCGAGATTACGGTCAGAGAGGCGCCAACACACAAGCAGCCCGGAGACAAACACGTCGCCTCGTGACTTGTGTTTCTTAACTGAACTATTCGCGCTCAGTCGGTTCCAGGGCTGTGAAACTTCAGCTTTAATGTAGATGCACATGTTTGGTTTCCGCTGAGCTCTGTGTGCTGTGTTTTACTCGGTGAACGATGTCGGACGCTCTGTCAGACGACGGCAGCCACGACGACGGTCAGGAGGATGTGATGACCCCGGCGGAGCTGATCGCCAAACTGGAGGAGGTGAGCTGATGTGAACATGGTGGAGCCGCAGACACACTCTCCTGTCTCCGGTTAGCGTGTCCACCGTCTCCTCACTCTCTCATGCTCCCGTCTCAACTTGTCGCAGGCCTGGCTGAATGAGAAGTTCTCCCCGGAGCTGCTGGAGAACCGGTCGGAGGTGGTGGAGTGTGTGATGGAGCAGCTCACTCACATGGTAACTGGAGCTTCTGATCGTCTCTGTATGTTCACAAACTCTCGTCCTACGTGTAGACACAGTGTGGACCACAGCTCCATCTAACGACACCGACATCACAGCAGACGAAGCTGCAGTGGTGGACAAAGTATTCACTTCCTTTCAGTCAATAAAAGTATTAATACTACATTGTAAACATGATTTGAAAGAGCTGCTGTGTTGTAAACTTTCCACAAGTATACACACCGGAGATTGATGTACTCAGACAAATGATATGTTTAAAATATGTATGTTGTGAGTGCTGTACTTACTGAAATTAAAGTACTTTGATGATCTACTTCAATATGTATCTTAGGCACAGTGCATCCCTGGATATAATGAACTTAGTCACATTCCACTTTATTTTCAGTTCTGTCCGTTTGTCAGCTGTATTTCGTAGGAGTAGTAAAATCAGTCTGCACTAACCTGATAGAGGGATCAGGGCCAGGGAAGGACACAGTCAGATCTGATTTGTTTTCTTTTTCATATCTTTATTTCAGCGTGCGGTCTTTCAGTTTGAGAGCAAGACTTATTGATCTCACGTTCACAGTCTGTAACACTTGCCCTCAAAGCCCTGCGCGTCTCTCAGATATACCCAGCTTTTGCTCACATTTCCAATTTCAGTTCCTCTTCTCACACTCACTCTGCAACTGTGAAACGTCTGCTCTCATATTTCTCCTCTTCTCTTAAATCATTTTAGTTTACTGACTACTATTGCTATTAATTGTACAGATCCAGCCGTGGAGACCGAAGTCGGAATTACTTCTTTATTAATTATTATTAATAATAATAATCAAATCATTTAACAAGTGATTGTTTTTGCTTATCTGTTCATTGGAAGTCATCATGAATAAAATAGACAGTGTTGTGATGATCTCCATGTCAATAGGAAGCCAACTTGCAGCGGGTGAAGAAAGGGGATGCGAAGGCCAGTATCCATCGCATGGAGATAGATAGAATCCGCTTCGTTCTGAGCAGCTACCTGCGCTCTCGTCTGCAGAAGGTCGGTCACATCAACAATACAGCGAGCAAAATGAAACTCATCTCCCTCAGTGCTTGTTGACAGGATTTTTTCCCTATGCTTTCTCATGTCAAGATTGAGAAGTTTTTCCCTCATGTCCTGGAGAGAGAAAAGTCTCGAGGCGAGGGAGATCCCTCTTTGCTTTCGCCCGAAGAGTTTGCCTTTGCCAAAGAGTGAGTATAGCAGAACAATGTCAGAGCTGTTTGTGTAAGTTTCTGCTGTTACCTCTGGCTTCATCCACATTACCACATGCTTTAAAATGCACCAGTGTGCTACTTACACCTGCCATTCCTGTTACTCAGAGGAAACAGAGACATTTGGAAAAGCTGCTGGCCCAGTTTTACTTTAAAATGCTGGTTCTGCATTTTAGTCACGATGGGCAGGAACTGAGATGTTTGGAAATGATGACACACATTCGCTGGATTGGATCATATCAGTCATCAGGCTACAAAATGATGCTAACACTGTCCAAGAAAAATAACCAATGTTTCTCATTCATATTATTTTCAGCAACTAAGCAACAATCTGCTTCCTGTCTACACCAACATATGCAGGACCAGTGTATTTTAATGGTCATGTGATCTGTGTGTTTGTATGGAGATTATTTATGATATGGAGCTAAAAAGATTGTCAGGACGTAGATAGTTTTCTTTTAAAAAAAAAATGAACATTCAAAACTGCATGTGATGTAACCTGAGATTTAAAACTCTTATCTGTCATACAGGTATTATGCAAACACAGAAACCTATCTGAAGGCTGTAGCACTGAAGCGCATGCCCCCCAACTTACAGACAGTGGATATGATCAAAGCAGGTAAAAATCACCCTTAGTTTGAACACATTTTACTGATCTATCACTATTTGTTACTAAATAATACCTAATACCTAAATGCTATATGCATACACTGACAGATGGTGGCATATGCTCTGATATTTTCACTGTGACATTAAGTCCCATGTATTCTTATGTAACCCCAGTGCCTCAGCCCTGCTTGGACTCCTTTGTGTTTCTGCGGGTGAAAGAGAGACAGGAGAACATCATGGTCGAGCCTGAAACAGACGATCAGAGGTACTTTAGTCACTTCAGTCCTTGTCACTGTTTTGAAATTTCAGTAGGTGGCAGTGTTACCCTTTCACATTCAGTGCAGTACAATGCTTGTGCATAGATACTAAAACAACTGATATTGTCTCTGCTGCATCTCCTCTATTAGAGAGTATGTCGTGGATCTTGAAGAAGGCTCTCAGCACCTGATGCGGTATCGAACTATAGCACCACTAGTTTCGAGTGGAGCTGTGCAGTTGATTTGAATGTGAAGGTAAGTAATGGCAAGTGTTACTGTGTATTCTCTCTCATTATCTCAACACAGCCCTCACACCCTCTTGTACAGACATCTGCTAATTCATTTCTGCAGATCTTACATAAGCTACTGCTTTGCTGTGACATCTGGATGTATTTTTAGCTCTCACTTGTTTTTGCAGCGTTCATTGTCTCTTGGCAACAGAGTATGAAAGAACCTTTTTTTAAGAATGTTTACAGTATGTCAGACTTGTCATTTCACATAACTTAGCAGTCAGACTTTATTTATATAGTGCTTTTCATACAGACAATATAACACAGTGCTTTACACAATAATCATATACCCTCTTTTTCAAGAGAGACCTGGGAATAAGAGACAATTACAATCAGCAAATAAATTCAACACAACAAACAGTTGATCAATAAAAGTAGCACAACAAGAACTTAGTTATAACAATTACAAGAAACATGAAAACCACCAGATAACAAAGATATAAAATCTCTAAGGGGAATGTAAGACTGCAGTTGTGGGACAGATTGCAGCTCATTTCACTTAAAATGTGTGTTAACCCTTCATTTTAGTGTGAGCAAAGGGGATATTTAAGGTGATGTAGTTACTTCATCGTTTACTGTAGTGACCAGTTTTAAATGCACAGAGCAAGACAATATTAACAAGAACCGAGGAAATGTTTTTGTAAATCTCATTTGAAATGAGAAAAACAACAAAGGCTGATAAAATGCTAAAATGCTAAAAGAGATGTGCTAAAGATAAAAAATATATGTGAAAACAATTCTGAGAAAGTAAATAATTGAATAGATAAATAAAACACAAAAAAGGATAAATCTGTTAAACAGTCTGAGATGTACAAATACATACATAAATTCAATTAATTGCCAAAAATAAGAAGATAAGTATAGACTGTACTTTTAACTAAACCGCAGTTTACAATGAAATCCAACCATCACACAGAGATTTTTTGTTCCAGGTCTGTGTTGGTGTGGATGGCTCCAGGTGATCGTGAACCTGCAGAGATCACATCAGCAAACACGTCCTTGAAAACACCCAAGTAGTGGCACCATGGCTTCAGGAGATGTAACCCAGTGGAAAATATTCCCCAAATATAAGATCACCACTAATGAGAAGTGAAGGCTGGGAAAGAACCCAGTTCACCAAACCAGCTTTTGCAGTGCTGTGGTGTTATTCATGGACTTTTTTTAAAATCATGACATAACATAAGTTCAATTAGATTCCCACAGTATAATGCATTTTGGTGTATTGGGGTTTATGAGACCTGTAAAGACTCTATCAAATCTGCTACGTCATCATTCCTTTTATTCTACATGCAGATGATTTGCATGATTGGACTTTTTCCTTTGTTGCTCAATATCAGGACACATCAAATGACTTGAAGGTGAAATTTCATCTTGGCATCACATTGCCTGTCACTTCCTGGTGCAGATATTAATTTGCGTGTATATTTGAAAGATTATTTTCATTGAGCTGATATTCACACTTGTGTAAACTATCATTATAAATAATTGTGTTCCTTTCCTAACTGTGCATCTCTTTACCTTGACTACCGGATCCAATTTTATCTGCTTTTCAGCGCCGCTCTGCTTCATAACATTGAAGAATCTTTAGATTGTGTCTCTGTAGTCTCTCCCTGAGAGGATGTGTGGAACATTGTCTTCTCTGAGATTGTTTTAATAGCTTTGTTATGTAAGGAATTCAGAGGGAGCAGTCTGTGCCTATTTTTTGCCTGCAGTGAACTGAACAGCGTCAGTCATCATCTTGATTTGCAGATCTAGCTAATATCAAATCTTATTACTCTGTTGTTCAGAGACAAGGTATTTAGAGCACATTTGTATTAAAATGCTGGGAATTGAAAGCACTGTTCACATTGACCTTGAAAATGGTTAAAGATGTAGATTTAAAAGAATAAAACCTTAAAAATATCATTGAATGGATATGAGTATTTCATTTTATTATTTATCCAGCACAGCAACCAACTTCATTATTCAACCTCTTTAACATCTCTAGTTGTCTTCGTGTAATGGTAGAAGGTCAATTCTTGACAAATAACCTCTTTCATACAAAGTCTTAGGTTTAAATCATTAAAATGTCCTTGAATTTGGTGTCCTAATACATCTTTGCAAATATAAAGTGTGTTTCACGTTACTTGATATGTGTGCACGTACTTGGCTGGATTCTTGAATAGCTTCCTCCGTTAGCTGACTGGCATGCTGAGGCTCATTTGTAATCCGGCTCTTCCTTATGCGTCACACATGTTTATGGATTGCGGGTCAGCGATCCCTTCAGGACACAAGCCAACCAGCAGAGAACTTGGATCTGTGTCTATTGACATGTCTGAGAATAGAGCCCAGAATGACTAGGATAGTTTCCACAGGGTAGAATTACATGTAGACGACATGCTCGATACAGTACACCTATATGTGGTTTTATCGCAGTGGATGACACATCTGAGGTGACTGTCCAAAAAGTTCACGTAAATCTTCACAAACAAAAATCTTAAAAACAAGGACTGCTGCTGTGCATGAGCTAAAATCATTAAAATCACAACATGCTGAGCTGAAACAGGATGAGCACAAAACCTCTACGTTCAGCTGATTGGTCAGGGGAGTGAAGGGGAGGAGCCAGCAACATGACATAAGTGAGGTAGTGTATATAGGACACTGTGCCAGACTCTCCTGTGGGGATGAGTGAGAGGACAGACGACCACCTGCTGCTCGTGTGTAAGTAAGTTTCAGTTAAGTGAGACTGTTTCAATGTGTCACAACAGGGATTTTGATTAGTTAATATACTGTTGATCTATTTTCTGGTGTTTTCATTGTACATGTCATTCCGGTGATTGTACAGTGAGTCTAACTGCAGATGCTGAACTAAACTTACAGAAAGACAAGTGTTTGACTTTGTGCTCGATTCACAGAAATTGCCACCACGCTAGAATACCACACAAACATTGAGGATAATATGTCTGTAATTCAGCCTCACACCACCAGCATGGAGATCTCGGATACAAAGTAAGCCATCAGTGTGCCAGCTGTATTATCTTGCATCATTTTTTCAATTTGTTTGAGTAAGGGTGGCTTGTAATCATTATCAAAATTCTGCAATAAATTTAACAGCACAGTTACAGAAGCTTAATCACACTTGCAGGGCTACAGTCTTTATTGAAACCAGTGTTTTTGTCCTTTGCAAGTGTCCTGCCAGTGGTTGGCTTTGGGTCAATGGCCCAGTCAGCCGGACTTGTGGAGATCGCCGTCAGGCTGTGCTTGAACCAGCGTAAACAACTGTGTCCTCACGTTTGGGTTCCCATCCTGAAACCTCAGCGGCCGTGCCTCCGTGCCCAGGTGTCAGATCAGCTGCCCTCTGACATCCTGAGTCAAGCTAACCCAGCACACCCCCTCTGGTCCTTCCTGGATGACGACTTGGACGATGATTTTTTGATCCCAATTAAGAATAAACATGTGATTTTCGCTGACTCAAGAGGATTGTCCCTGACGGCGGTGCGTGAGTTTTCCGATGAAGAGGAGCAGTCCGACCTCAACCTACTGCCGTCACTGCCGGACATGGGAAGCATGACAGCGAACAGCTACAGCTGCACCGTCAGCACGTGCTGCCCAGGAACACGGCTCAAGCTAGACTTCCCACAACCCTCTGCAGATTTCCAGGCCTTCCGCGCCAAGCTAGCAGAGAGCATGGTTACCCTGGACAACTGCAGCGTTACAGAACAAGCCCTCCAAGGTACCGTTCGAGTCAGGAACCTCAGCTTCCAGAAGGACGTGCGTGTGCGCATCACCTTTGACTCCTGGCAGAGCTACAAAGACATGTCCTGTACATACGTGCAGAAACGATTCGGAGGACCACAGACGGACATTTTTGAATTTGACATTGCCATTCCTAAAGTGCTGGATGCCAAAAGGAAGATAGAGTTCTGTTTACATTATTTACCTGGAGGGCAGAGCAAACCTTTTTGGGACAATAACGATGGACAGAATTACAGCATTGCAGTGTGTGTGAGCTCACATCTCTGTTGTGGGAAGAGTGTAAGTGAAAGGGCATGACTAACTGAACATAGAAAAGGATCCTTGTTTTTATCATACATACATCTGTGCTGGATCAAAATGAGGTGGATAGTTTTTATTATATTTTGCATCACTCTGAATTGAAACTTATATTTTCATAAACTTAAAAAAACGTCTCACTTTTGTGTCACTCAATTTTCTTTCCCGGCTCTCTCTCACATTTCATCCACAAATAGGTGACCTTGTTCTTCGGGCACTCTATTGTCGTTTGCTACATGTTGGCCACTCATCAGCCCATGTGCACGAGGGAGGGGATCCCTTTCACATTTTTGGGATGTTGGGATTGCCACATAGGTCAAAGATTACTGTGGACAGACAAACAGAAACATGAGAGAAGCTAATCTTAGTTTGGTCCTGTTTATAGAACTGAGGCTGATCATCAGAGACGATGGCAGGAAACTCTGCTTTACCATCGTCACCATTACCTTTTTCTATGGTGTTTAAAACCACAACAAAATGAACTTTCACTGTGACACTGCAACATTTAGACATTACACTCCAATTTTAGTTTGTTGTTTAAAACGTTGGCGAAGAGGCGGGGTACACCCTTGACAGGTTGCCAGCTAATTGTAGGGCAGGAGCACAATTAAGTTGTCTTTTTTAATTCTTCGATTAGCTTTTATGGAAGGATTCAAGTAGTTAATGTTGAGCTATTTGACAATAAGGCTTTTTAAAAGACAAAAAATGTCTGGCAATGACTTCACTGAGCATCACAAGAAGCAGCAGTAGTCAAATGTTTTTTATGATCTCTGTTTAAAGCCACTTTCTTATAAATGGGGCACACACTTGTGCATTTGAACTTGTGGGCTGTATCAAACAGAAATAATTGAAAATAAATGAAACAAGTCTTCCAGCATAAAATGAAAAATAAAATCAAACACATTTTGAGGAAAGAAATGTAGGAAATGCCATAAAAACACCAGGGAGGAGAGATGACTTTCAACAAACAAGGATCACAGATGGTCTCCATTATTCTGAAGCCTGTTATGTTTTCAGTTATGTTTTGTTCAGCAGTCACAGGTGGACTTTTTTCTGTTTCCATTTGTGATCATGATAAATTCCTGTGATACAAACTGTAAGTCTAATACTCACTATTCTAGTCCAGGTAGGTGGGAAGAAGGAAAGCAGCATGCACACACCCCGAGAGGTGGGCTGTTTCCTCTGTTTTCTAACCTACACACAATGAACTCGGCCATTTCGTCCTGTGCAAAACTCTGTCTTTCAGCAATGTAGGCTCACACACTCCCAGCTCTTTCTCAAATCCTGCTCAGCGTCCCACGCTAATGTTGCACACTTTGCAGCTTGGGTCTTTCTTGGCATTGGCTGTAGTCAGACTCATCAGCTGGTGATGTCCGCTGATCTGCTCCACGCTGCCCTGATCCAAATGGACCGGCTCGGTGAAAAGCACCTCAAGGATGACATCGCTGGAGTGGCAGAACAGAGGCTCTTCCCCTGCACTCTTGGGGGCAGTGTATGTCAGGAAGGGGTTGGAAGCCAAGTCCAGCATGGGGAGGCGGGTGCGACAGAAGGTATCTCCCTCTGAGCCAACAGGGGCTAGCACCAACACCACGTAATGGTAGGCAGTGTACATACAGTAGAAGTCTGCAAAGTACAGACAGATGTCAGGGTTCAGCAGGTTTCCAGCTGGGATCTGGTAACGCAGCGGGCCATATGGGGAGTCTTTGGGAGGGAGACCTGTGTCAAACTCTGTGTTGCAGCTGAAGAAGACTCCCTGTAGTTTGGCATTAATGGGAGAACCATGACTTCCACTGTTGTCTTTCAGAGCTGGACGCATCAGTCCTCCACATTCCCTCCTAATCCAAGATGTGAAGAGGAAAACAGCATTATGCTTAATTACTGGAGGCATGACTTTAGTTTTACAATAGAGAGAAAAGGATGCAGCACTGACCTGACGTAGTCAAAGTAGTCTGCGTGCTGGTTGCGATAAAATACGGAGAATTTCAGCAGCCTCCCTGCGGAGCCTTTTGCCTTGTCAAGAAGTTGCTGCAAGTGTTCCATGGCATAGTCTGCAAAGTGGGTAAGAACTGTGTAATCACATCAAGTCTGCACCACTTCAAATGCTAATGACCACCAGTACTCAGACAGGATTGTTATTATGCCATTTCTGTGCACTGCACTTCTTTGTCCTTATCTTGTATTGCTCTCATATCCTGCTGCATACCTTATATCAGGGTTACCTTAGCTGTCACACATGCTGTGTCTTACCTCCAGTGCAGAACTCCACTACCTGGCTCCACTCTGACACCAGGTAGTCACCGTCTGCCTGTCTGACAGCAGTTTGAACAGCAACGCAGTACTCTGTCCGCGGGCTGAGGAACCAGTGTCCCCTCACCGCCATGGGGAGAGGCACGGCCTTGGCCACAAGCTTGGTTGGCACATCCTGGAGCAAAAAGCAAGAAAAGACTTGACACCAGGGACAGGATGCAAGGGTTTAACATACTGCAGTGGTTTTAATTTACATTTCAAAGCAAATGTAAATGCAACTTTTAATTCAACTATTCCCGTCCATAAACTTTGCCTAATTAGCCTGATATTCCACTTCAAGCCCAAGCTGCAGTAACTAGGATACATCTAATCAAATCAGCGGCTTTGTTTTGACCAAGGCCTCTTAGAAGCGCAGCTAATTACAACAGGCTCAGAGGCCCATATATCCATGGTAACATCTCTGATGTAAGTTTGTTTGTGCCACTTTGTATATCAGAGAGAGAGAGAGAGAGAGAGAGACTATCATCCATTCAGGAACAGCTCACTCAGTCCTACACCTGCCTTGACTTCACAAAAGCAGTTTTCAGCTGTTGATTCTAATCATAATGCCATAATTACAGTCAGTGTTGTGCATCTGAAATAAATTACCATTCAGCTACAGGAGCTGTATCAAATATTTCACTGAAATACTAAATGCATCACTAACATCAAAGTGCATAGAGCCTTTCCTTTACCAAAATTATGTAAAATGTGTTTGGCACGCTATAGCTACTTTGGCACAGTGGTGCTTTGACCTAAATGTTAACCGAAGCATCCTTACATTCGCATAATGAAAATGCTAACATGCTGGTGATAAGCAGTTATAATTGATTAATCATGATAGATAGAAAATGACGAATCAGAGAATCACCACAGTGACTAATTCATCCAGAGGGATAACAGTGTTTAAATGTCATGGCAGTCCAACACCCAAGAATACAAACAATTTCACTAAATGTCAACTTAATGGTGGTTCAATAAAGTCAGAGGATTACTGCCGTCAGTAGGATTCATCTGCTGGGGTCAAGTATATGCAATTTCATCTCAATCCTCCAGTAGTTGTTATCTTATTGGAGTAAACTGACTGACTTCGCAATCCCCAGAGCTATTATTAGGCATAGCTGCTAGCAGGGCTATAAATAGGTAGACATCTGTATGGTAATTGGAAAATATGTGTGGTTCATGTAAGAGGTTCAGTTCATCAGCAGATCCAAAGACTGCAGCTAAAAAGTAGCTGGCAGCAAAACTCGATACAAAGCATCTCCTCTCAGTGCTTGAGATTGATAGTCCCCAGAGAAACACATTTATTTAAAAAAGAAGATAAACTATCTGTTTCAGATTGTCTCTTTTCCACCTTTCTTACTGAACTTAGTGATGTGCATAGAGAGTAATTAACATGAAACTGTTTTGTGCTGCAGCTGTATTCGTCAGCTTTTGTCCACTCCGAGGAAACAATGTACAACTGAGTCACTGGCCTGAAGCTGTTGACTGCACTCATTTTCATTTTGTGCCTGTATTGAAAGTGACTGAAAGGGTGCAACCACTGTTTTCTATGAAGCAGTAAAACTGTTAATCCAAGCAGAAATGAATAAAAATACAAATAGTCCTGTCTAATTTAAAGGTTCAGTGTGTAGAATTTAGACTTGGATTTAATTTAAGATATCTTAAGGTGAAGTTTCATTTTGCAGCTCCCTCATACCCTCCCCTTCCAAACATGTTGGAGAGCCTTCATACGTCATAAAAATTCAAAACGTGTTTAATTTGTCCAGTCTAAGGTTGTGTAAACAACATGGCTGCCTCCGTAGAGAGGACCCAACCCTTATGTAAAGTATTTAAATATAAAGGGCCCATTCTAGGTTAAAGCAAACAGCAACTTGTACAATTTAAATCACTAGGATTATTTTATATTTGAATTCTGGGTTAGATTCCTTTCACCTAAATCTTACACACTGAACCCTTAGGCTTTATTTTAAAGTGGAATAAAGTACAGGGTGGACTCCTCAGCCAATCACATGCGATTGATGTGAATTTGGAAAATGAGCACAGACAACACAGCAGGGAGCAGACTGCATTTGTAGCTGTTTTAGTGGGTCAGACCCTGTGTTTGAAGCGGTTGGGATCCTTGCTCTCTTTGCGGCTCAGGTCGATGAAGAAGTGTGTGGCTCTGGCAGTGTCCTCCGAGGTCATGTCCCACATGATGCGGAAGGAGTCACAGGTGACCTCGCAAATCTGAATGTGGCATGGGGTGGAGAGAGGAGCATCCATTTCTGTCACCTAGAGATAAAAGAGGGCAAGTTAGACGACTGGGACTGTAATACCAGTGATGGAGACAACATCTGGTAACATCTGTCCCTGCTTTTTATTCACCTTCCTGCTCTTTTCACTCCCCCTCCCCTCTTTCCTTGCCCTTAACTGACATTTAGCATTACACAACTCGATGTGCTCCCAGCCGAGTGACTGGCTTCTGCCTTCCCTGTGCATTTCATAACCCACCTACAGCAGTCTCCCGGCAACCACAACCTCAATCTCCTCCTGCGCTTCTCAAGGAAGGGGTCACTGTTGCACCTGTCAGCAGCAATTTGAACTTAAGGTAACTTTTTAAAACACCCCTTGCTGAAGTGGACACCTTTAATTTAAACCGCTGAGCAAGCGAGCTCCTTGCAGCTCGAGGGAAATCTTCAAACAGCTTTTGGGCAGAAATGGGGGAGGTTTAAGTAGGAATCAGCAGCAGGGGATGTATGGTCATATTTCTTTAGCTGCCCAAGAGCTATTCGATCCAGGCTGCTGCACACAGGCCATAGTACCGGGCTGGGTCAGGCTGCATTTGTGTTTGATTAGCTGTCACCTTCCCTCTTGTAAACTGATGGTGAGTCTCTGCAGTGTGTGCACAATGGTCCTCTTCTTTTACCCTGAGAATCAGTGCATGTCCATTCTTCCACTGTTTGCATGTAATTTTCATCCATCTTTGGATTTGTTATTGCGATAATCTCCTATAGTTTCCTCAGTGATATAGTAGTTTAAAGAATTATCTGCTTTAGTTCTCTGCACTGTAGCATTTCAGCACAAAAGCAGCATGTTTCTTCCTCATTAAAACTACTCTAACTCTGAGCAATTGTGAAATCACAGATGTGCCCCAAATAACCTTCGAGCAATTTAGTACAAACGATCTTAACATCCTGCAGATGCCTGGTGTCGTGTCACTGTCTGACTGCTATAGGTCTGCTGTAAGGTGCTCTCCAGTCAGTATGATGGACAGGCTGCAGCAGCTCATTAAAGCCTGTGAACTGTGAAATTTGTGCGGTAGCTCGTTTGCACAGGGGCCAGGGGAGAGAGCCGTTGCGTCAAGCACGTGTGTTTCCACGCGTCCATTTTCCAGCTGCTGTTCTCAGTTTTTTAGCACAGTGTCTTTTCAGAGATGGAAACTGGGGCAGGAGGAGATTCTCTCAGGACAAGTCACCAAAGCCCCCATGTCTATCTGTGCGTTCCACTTTTGGATCGATTACATGTGTTGCATGCATTGAGTCCTCATTTCTGTATGTAAATGGACAGAATTATCTCTGTTACTACACTTGCTTTGACAGACAGTTGCTCCAAATAAAAAGGGACCCACATTAGAAATCATAATGAATCAAATATTGAGTAGTGCTCAGTTACAATTCTTCCACCGGCTGAAATACATAACACACAGAGAGATGTTGCTATCTCTGTGAGGCAGCAACATGAAAGAAGATGCTGCGCTCATGCATATGAAGCAGGGCACAGACAGCAACTCTGGTTTGCAAGGTGAATATGTTAAAACACATGTAGATGGCTGCATGAGAGAGGAGGATAAGGCACAATTTTACTATAGAGGATTAAATGTTCATAAATGTGAACTTCACTCTGTACTGTGTGAAGTTCCTGCAGGCTGTTAAAAAGACATTTTGTGTGACTAATACAGTTTCAGCCCTCTTGCGCAATTCTACCAAGCATTAACATTTTGGGAAAACGAGCACTAAATCTAATTACATGTCAGTGATGCTGTATGACAGATCTAATAAGTGAAATGGCATTGGAGGGATGTAATATAGTTGTTTCATACATTCAAAAAGAATTACTGTATTTATCTGACTTCATATCAAAATGACTTGATAAGAGCACAAATGAAATGCTCCGTTATTTTTTTGCATCCATAACTTGTGAGCTCTACAACCATCAATAGAAAGACTGACTCAAAAGGAATCTCTTACTTGTATGAGGCTCAAATTCCTGATGGGAGCAGATTTTCACCGGGGCTGAATTGTTCTATCTTCTTATTCTTCTGCACTGCCTTCTCCTCTGCTGCAGTCGATGATAGATCCCCCAGGAAAACTGATTAGGAGGTGAAACAAACACACAGGCACCTCTCTCTAGCTCTCTCTCTTTCTCTGTCTCACCCTCAGTGTCACCAAACCCTCTCAACTCCCCCCTCCTCTTCCTCCTCCTCCTCCTACTCCAAAAAAATAAAATCTCATTTTTGCTCTGGGCTCTGCAGGATGTTTACTCAACTCCTGTGCAGCCACAGAGGATGGATTAAAACCTATAAAAGAGAGGGAAGAGAGAAAGATGAGTGAGTGAGTGAGTGGGTGGGATCTTCCAACTGGCGTGTGACCATACACTGAAACTCAGTCAACCTCGTCAGCATCCTGTCATGCAGTCACACACAGCTCATCACTCTCCAGTGGTCCGCCCGAGGCACCAAATCCACACACACACTCTAACTGCACATTTAGCTGTGCGCATACATGTCACCCCTCACATAAGGAGGCAGCCACTCAGGGTGTGAGAGACAAAAAAGAAAACACCCTCTACTGAGAGGACGCTGTTAATGATGTCCCAGCAAATTACATGGAGCACCATGAAGACCTACAAACATATACATGTGCCAACTGTTCTGCCATATGGACCGACTCCACAGGCAATCCCCCCCCCAGCCCATACGGAGGCGGGGGGATGTAAGTCCAAAGTAAGCAGATTTCCACTGGCATTAATTTTCAGAGGGATGTTTTTGTACTGGTTCAACCTCCGTCCGCCTTTCATCTCCATTTAGGATTTAGATTAAAATGAGACCCTCCCCAGATTAATGGCCATAATCTGCTGCTAAAACAATGGACAAAGAATAAAGACAAAAAACTAAGGGATAAAGGGATAGTGAGAGTACAGTCCTTCACTAACACATACAAAAAATCGAATTGAAAAATTACAAAGACGCAGTATATTGCCATAATTCCACCGACCATGTGTGGTATTGAAAAGCTTGATTCATATCCAGCCAGCCGCAGATAAGTGATACCCTCGGAGTGTAATTAAACTGCAATCATCCATCATTAGTCATGCTATGACAGCCTGCCTCTGTCCAAATCACCCCCTGAGCTCCAGGGGTAGGAACAGCCATTTTGTTAAAGGGAAGAGCTGCCTGTGTGTGTTTAGAGATTCATGCTCAATTTACGTAAACTACAGATAACATCCAGAAGGACAATATCTACTGAGTTTGAGTGACACATGCACAATGCGGAATTTTTCATTTTTCAAATCAAATTGTTTGGCTTGATTAATCACAGACCATCCCAGACCAACGCCAAGGGTGAGGGTTTATCAACAGGACACCAGCATGTTGGTGGAGTGGTTGTTTGACCTATTTGAACTATGATAAACTCCACACGTATCTTAATGTGGACTTGATGCTCACAACATGAGGAATTTATAAATGACTGCTTTTTGTTGTGGATATACACTTACAAACCTCAGAGAACTTACAGAGTAACTTGACTTTCAAAAGTCACGTCACTCATTAATGATTATATAACGTCTAAATCAAATGTGGTGTCAGGCCACAGCTGTGACAGTGTATTATTCTGATGTTGTGATATGAACTGGATTGCCTTGGACAGATTACTGACTGAGCTTACCAGGCACGGAGCCAGGGGCCCGACAGGTCACATGAGCTAAACAACCACAAACTACAGCCAAACACTAAACTGAGACACAAAAACAAACAAAACAAACATAACATGACCAGAAAGAGAAGAAAAATGACCAAAGAAAAGGTCAAAGGATCAACATAGAGACATGTCAGTTGAGGTTTGTTGTTTCTTGTACACTCTGGTCGTCTTTCTCTTTTGCAGGAGAGGTCCCAGGGCTGCAGAGCCCATTGTGTCATATCCATCCACGGGGTCCTAACAACACGTCTTCCATGTTGGCGTAGATGTTGCTGTTAAATTAATTTTCAGATTAGATTAGTGTAGTTTTCCATTTGTTTATTATGGCTGCAAAAATAAGATATTTGTGGACTTATATTTTGAAAAACCCAATAGACCCAAAAAGATATCTACGAGAGAGGTTTCAAAGTTGATGCAACTAGATCGCAGAAATTCCTATCTTCTAAAAATGTTTAATGCAATGTTCTTGCGTTCTTCTTCTTCTCTACTCCCAAGTGTTGCAGCTCAGCTCTAAATAGATTCTCAGCCTGCAAGAAACACTTTGCACATATAAGACATGATGCATATTATTGTTGTACTGTATTCATTTTCATTTAAACTGCATATAAAAATACGCAAAACAGAAAAGTAACGTACTCATTTGTTTTGAATGTACTGAGTTCTGAGTGGCAGTTTCTCTGCTGATTTATCAAAGCTTCAACAGATTAATGCTAATATTAATAGACATGTTTCTCAGCATGTATATATATATATAAAACACCATTGTATATTGTTTATATGTATTCCTACACTTTATTACTTTTTATATGTTTGATATGAGTCTGTCATGATCACAAAGTTGATGTTTTCATTACAATGCCATGAAATATGATGAGGTTTGTGTTTTCTGTGGAAACCTCAATACAATTTAACTGAAGTTTTTATGCAAATTACATTCTCCCACTATGTGTGTTAAGTGTAATTCATCAAACACAAATTGTGCATTGACATAAAAAATCTAAATAACTATAATGACTATACTATAATTTGTTGTTATTATTATTGTTTTGTTTTTGTTGTTTTTAGAAGAAGAAGAAAGAGCATTTTCTTCATCCGGGGTCTTGCAGGGGAAAACGTGAGTTTCCGCACGCACCGTTTATCCACGTGACCTCTCCGGCTGATGACAGAGCGGAAGTGTCATGGCGCCGCGCGTCCTGCAGCGTCACAAACAGCATCAACGCGACTTGTGATGAGTCGTGTCGTCCTCGTGTGGACTCGGGGTCTGTTCAGGAAATCACAGGAGTAAAAAGGTGAGTGTCCGGAGGAACACAGAGCGTCAACACTCCGGACTGACGCTGTTAAAGCTGCGTCCACTGTGATTTCATGTTGTGATCTGACCACGTGTTGCTGGATTTCTGCTGCTGTTGACACCAAATCTTTAAAATTAAGATTCACGGTGATAAAACAAACTCAGTTTAAAGTGGCCGTTTGGATTGTGCACTTAAAATCGCTGTTGGTGCTTAATACCACTCATATACACACTTGTTTCCACTGTTTCTACATCCTATTTGCATGGAACTCAAGCCTTTGTAAAATATGACTTACTGTATTCATTTATTTATTTAAATGTACTCGCTGAGCTGAAGAATACTTGAAACAAAAAATATTTAGGATTTAAATGCAGTTAATATAATCTTCTGTCTTTCTTGAACAAATGAATTTTAATTTGCCAGGACATCCAGGTTACTCCTGTACAGTCTGGCCTCTGTAATGAGTTTTTACAGTGTTTAACACTGGAGATAAACTTGATCACTGTTGTGAAGGAGAATTACTGTTTTACAAGACAATTGTTAAAATGCATTGTTAGCCATAATAACCACTAAGACACAATGAACAACATTATCTTTATTATTAGACAATTTTAGAAGATTAATCAAATACTCTCAGTACAATTTCCATATTTTTTCTAACCCTAACATGTACACTCTAAAATTACACGCGTAAACACATCCAGTACTTGACTTCCCACAACGTTTGGTAAAGCTAGGAATCAAACCTTTCAAGATATTATTATATGGCTGTCATGATGAAGCGTTTATGAAGCTATAAAAAAATGAAATCAATTTTCTCTCAGTTTAGGATGGCTGATTCAGGCTCAGGTGACCCCAGTGGTCAACGTGTGCCAACTCCTGGAGGGAGCAGTGTCGGACTGCTGACGGGCCGCCGACCTGCAGGAGCCATGACTCCAGTCCGTCTCCCTTCAATGCGATCGAGAGACCTCACCCTGGGAGGAGTGAAGAAGGTGTTGCACTGTAGAATATATATATATATATATATAAAATCAATTGATGAATTATTTTCCAATAATTTGACTGTTCCAATGATTGAACCCTGTTTTTGTGTTTTTGTTTTCTAGAAAACGTTTACACCCAACATTATCGGCCGAAAAACCAAAGAGGAGTAAGTTTCATTATTGACGTTAAAACAGATAAATATTCCAGAGCAAATGGATAAAACAGTTTTTCTGTCTGTTGGTCAACCACATTCTCTGTCACGGCAGATCAAAAGTTGAAGGCGGGGATAGGAGAGAGAAGAGGGATGGCAATCGAGGGCGAGGTCAGAGAGATAGAGGCAGGGGCCGAGGTCGCCCAGAGGTCATCCAGTCCCACTCTATTTTTGAACAGGGGCCTGCTGAGATGATGATGAAAAAGAGAGGTAGGAGTTCAGCTGGAAAAACACTCACTGTGTACCGCTTTGACTACCTCTTTAAATCAATGCCATCAAGTAAACTCTTGAATCAAACACAGGCGGCTATGAAAATGAGAGAGATGCTCCGAGCGTGGGGCCGTCACCCATCATCAATATTAAAAAGGAGAAGAGGGAGACGGAGGAAGAGACTAAAGAGATCCTCCGCAATCTGGAACGAGAAAACGTGAGACCTAGTCATCAGTATTTTAATAAATCGCTTTATTTTGCCTTTTCCAAAAAACCAACTTAATTTTTTTCCTTTGGTGTTCTCAGGTTATAGACGATCCCTTCCTGCGGAGTGAGCAGAGGAGCTGCCCCGTCCAGCTCCCCCTCGCTGTGTCAGGATGGGGATTCAAGGAGGAATTCAGTAACGCTGTTAAAATTGAGAAGATGGAGGAGGATTGTGAACCCATGGAGACAGCAGTTAAAGGTGAAGGCAGTTTAAATGCTCCTTCTCCTTTTTAAAGCAGGAAAGGATTTGCAAACATGCTGGTCACATAGCTGCTCTCTCAAAATACTGATTTCTTCTCTCTAGTCAAACAGGAGCCAGAGGAAATAGAAATAAAGAAGTCAGAGGGCGCTTTCAAGCCTCCTCCGATCCCTGAGCCCGAGATTCTGCACGACCTGCTGAATAGATGGAGTCTGAGCAAAGGGGAGGAGCTGTTCTTCATTCAGCTGCCTGACTCGCTGCCCGGCCAGCCAC